GTTTTTTGTGTTTGCATCGCGTTTTTTGTATTTGCACCGCGTTTTTTGTATTTGCACCACGTTTTTTGTGTTTGCAGCACGTTTTTTGTGTTTGCAGCACGTTTTTTGTGTTTGCAGCGCTTTTTTTGTGTTTGCATCGCTTTTTTTGTGTTTGCATCGCTTTTTTTGTGTTTGCAGCGCGTTTCCGTATTTGCAGCGCCTGTGTTGTCAAACTGATGGAGACGTTTTCTTAATTTGTTGTGGTTTTTTTTATGTTTGCATGTGTTTTCTTGGAGTTGCAGCGCGTTGAGCTCTCTCGGCCACCGTAGTTATGAACTTGAATAATATGCTTTGTTGGCTTGCAATGTGTTTTTCTATTAGACATGTTTTTTATGTTGAATTTCATTGGGTCAATGGAGAATGGCCAGGCTGCTTTGCAGTAACTCAGATAACCAACTTATACAATTGTGGGGGACAGAATAGAATCTCAGAATGTAACACACATCAAACCTTAAGGCGGATGAACTACAAAAGCAGAATAACATGTCGGGTTCCACTCCTGTCAGCCAAAAACAGAAAGCTGAGGTTGCAGTGAGCACATGCTAACCAAAACTGGATAGTTGAAGAATGGAAAAACTCTGGTCTGATGAATTTCTATTCCAGATGGCAGCCTTAGAATTTGGTATCAACAACCTGCCTTGTGTCAACAGGCCAGGTTGGTGGTGGTAGTGTAATGGTGTGGGGAACATTTTTCTTGGCACACTTTGGGCCCATTACCGATCAATCAATCATTGGTTGATTGCCGCAGCCTTTGGTCTGTACTCAACAGTTCCTTCAAGGTTTGGAAATTACATCAATGTACATGTTGAGTTTTGGCCACCAGGTGGCAGAATATTCAAAGTGATACATTTTCACACAGTTGTAAGACTTGAAGTTTCATCTGATTAGAAGTTCAAGTCTATGCATGAACACATTTTCATGGAAATGCATATGAAATTTGTTGATATTGCCTGGGTCAAGTTTATGTTTTTTACAGTTGTAATTAAGATAAAACTGGCATACTGTGAATTTGTGAAAAACATTTTATGGAAGACAGATTCTTAATATTCACAAGTTTACAAGTAGCATCTTTCTGAAAAACCACCAGTGGGCTTCAGCTTCTTTGGGAATTTAAGAAAGACTGAATGTGAGATGCAACATCTGGCCAAACTCCCCACAATTCCCAGCTCCCCTCAATGTGTCTGAGTTGCTTCTGCTGAAATATCACCTGTGCATTTCACAAGCAATCAGTCAGACCTGGTCACGTGAAGAGCAATAATGTAACAAAACAATTAGGATTACCGGAGTGCATCTGAAATGAGTATTAAATTAAACAAGATGATAACAAATAAATAAAGCCGTCATACCAGACCTTACAAGTGTGGAAAAAAATAACACCAATGGAGAATATACCAGATACAGTTCTTCTGATAATGTACAGTATAGAAAGTGTAACAGCAATAACTATATAATATAATGTGACATTTAGTATTAACTGTCTAATTAATTAATCACAATTGCAGATTTTATAAGATGGATACTGACTTGTGCTGTGTCACTTTTGACATGTACAACTGTATCATACAGCAAAGCTTTTCATTTACTCAGTATGAATGCAAAGATTTTGAAAAATTTGAATTAAATATATGCTCTGAACACCCAACTCACTAAGTAAATTATCTGGTCAATAGGCGATTAACTAACCAGCTACCGAAATACTGACTGCAGTCCTTATAGTAAAATTTTCAAAGTGCTTTACACATTCTTTCAAACATATATGAAATGTACATGAGACATATGCATGAATTACACTGAGAAAGCTGCATACTCTTTCAAAGAAATGCCAAAAAAATTCTTCAGACATTTCAGGTGCAACCTTCTTTTAAAAGAAAATTAAAACTTAACACGAATTCAGACATTTCTAATGTCTGTGATTCAGTGAAAATCAAAATGCTCACTGTGTGAAACAGTCATCATGTGGCTCATAGTTCAGTCCTTATTGTCTGGGTGCTGGTCACTGTCCCTTTTGTTGTGTTGACCTCCATTTTGACTTTGTCTCGAACTGCCCTTCTTTTTCTCCTTGTGACTTTTTCCCTGCCTCTTCTCTTCTTTGTCCTTGACCATGGCCCACAGCTGATCAAGGTCCAGTGTGTCATCAGAGCCGGCCAACATTTCAGTGTTGCTGAACACACTCTTAAAGAGACGTAGGTGGTCCTGCAGGGCGGCGCGCATCAGCGCCACCTCAGAATCAAGTTGTGCCACCTGTCCAGCAGAGGACATCTGATCTGTGCAGTTGCAGCAGGAGAGGCAGCCTTGGGCTTTGGATCTGCTCACCTCCACCCCCAATCTCTCTATCTCTCTCGCTAGGTTCTGGATTTCTATGGGCAACAGTCGTGATTCTGGAAAAGCATGTTTGCTCTGGTCCCCACTTCTTCTCTTGAGGCCTCTGGTGGACCACTCTGTAGGTGCTGTGTGCTCATACATGTCTGGGTCCTCAGATTGAATGGACATCCTAACACTGTGCAAGGTATGATTCTGGCTCTTGATCTGCTCAGACATACGTTTAATTTTTGCCTGAAGCACAGGGATGGAGTATGTTTCCAGTTCCGAGGATGACCGTTCCCTAAATTCCAGCACTTCCTCTCCTAGCAGGATTTCCAGAACCTCCGAGTGTCGGATAGCATCCTTCAGGAGCGTATCAAAGAAGCTGGAGAGCCGATTCATCTCTTCCTCTTTCTCTGTATGCTTCTTATACAGGTTATGAATGTCCTGTTGGTTCCCAAGGAATCCAGAGTACAGCTGGGACAGGTCCTTGGCCAAGAGGCGGCTCTTGTTCTGCTCAGAGGCCAGAGATTCTTGGACCTGTAGTAGTCTCACATTCACATCATCCATGCTGGTGTCCCAGTTCAAATACCATTGATGTTGCTCATCTGTGGTTTCCAGGGCCAGCTTATTCTCATTGGCCAGCTCTGTGACATTGACCACCTTCCACGATAGCCTGGACAGGTCTTCAGCCAAGGTTTCACAGTTACAGGAAGTGGAATTGAGGATTTTGTAAAACTGTATAAACAGGTAGTCTGTGTCTGAGTCTATATCCCTCAACTGGTTCTCTTGTTCTGTGAGGTTGCTGACTAACTCGTTGACCCGCCTGAGCACCTCCACCTTGGCCGCCTCTACGTCCAGCCCCGTCTCCATGTACTGTATCTGGCTTTTGCGGCTGGTGTCCTTGATACACTCATCCAAGCGTTGGTACTCTGCATGCAGGCTGCCAATGTTGTTTCTGGCCAGATTCAGGTCCTCCAGCAAGGTGTCTACCTTAACTGTGTGGTTGATCACTTTTTTATCAAGGCTATTGATTGCCTCCCACATCGCAGAGTCCTCCTGCTGCTGACTCGGCTTGACGCTTCCACCTTGGTCACCTCCTCTTTGCACCCAGTGCTCCAGCTGTGCATGGTCCTCCCTCACATCAGCTAAGGAGGCATTTAGAGACTGGAGGCTCACCTAGTGGGTTAAAGGAAGACATGTCTTCAAAGAGCTACACCCAACAAGAGACTGACCTCGTAATAGTTAGAAACTGTGAAAATATAGTCGGCACTATGAAAATTAAAGATACAGCAAGGGAAAGTGTAGGAAGTTAAAAAAAAAATGAACAGAGGACAGACCTGTATCATTTTCTGGGTGCGTTTTATTTTTCCATCCATGTCAGTCTTGAAGTTGGTCAGGTTATAATGCAGCATGGCGTGCTGGGAGTGCAATCTGTCCTCCAGCCGCACACTCATGTCTTCCATCTCCCGTTGCACGTTGTCCAGTCTGTACTCCAGGTTTCGGTACACTTCTGGGGGCTCCGTCACTGCTGGCTTTAGACTCACCCATTCTCGCCTGTGCTCAGCCAGGTCCTGGGACAAGTCACCCACCTCCTGGGAGAGATGTTGCAGGGTCTGGTTGAAGCTGTCCAAGAAGGGCTGGATCCTGGCCATCAGCATGGTCTCAATGTGCAGGAGGGACAGGGGCTCACCACCATATGGGAAGGGCAGTTGAATTGATGGGTCCACATCTGCCGGTCCACACACATGCACATTCTCAGTTTTTATGTGTCCTTACAGTGCCACCATAGCTACTTATAACCCCAGCGACTGAAAACATCTTATTTTCTTTGTCCTCCCATTGACTAATAGAATTGGGGGTAGTGGTGGTACAGAATAGTTCCAATGTACACAGATCCTGTAGCATCCCATCAGGCATGGGCATCCACAGGCAGGGCACAGAACACTGGCTTAAGGTCATAGATCCCTACTGAGCCTGTGGATCACTCCACTTGGCTGAAGCCACACCATCTCCAGAAACATACTCATTCAACAGTTCCATAAGATTATTACATTTCTTAAAACCAATTCCCAGCATTGAGTTGTGAGCTACATCTCCTCAAAGGAATCCCTGTGAGGAAGAATGGCTTGACCCCTGAATCCTCTCCAAATATGGCGAAGGGGCAGCTTGTTTTAACACCTCACTTCACATGGCATTGGGACCCTGTACTTCCCCTCCTGCCCATTACATCATCCTTTTCACAAAGTGAGAAAATGAGACCAGCAGAAACAAAGGATTTCCTGCAAAGGAAGCAGAAATGAAGGAGGTCTGGGGGGCGCCACCTATTTTTGGATTCACAGCTATAACATGAAACCTGACTCTTGGGGGAGAAGCCCCTTGGAGGATGTGGGTGAGACTCCCAGCTGCCTGGATTTCAGATGAAGGCCCATCTGTTATGTTAAGGGCTTCTGACAGAGAGGTCAGCAACATCACACTCAGTTATGGAGGTTCAGCCAACCATTTTCTACCACTGGTGTGCAAGAGTAACAGCTCGTAAGACAGAATTTAGTATTCAAGCTCAACATTGCATTCAGGACTTCCAGGTTAAATCCAGCTTTTGTGGTACACCAGTCCAGGGAATCTAAGAATTTCCTACCTGTTTTATGGTTGTCATAATCTTGGTCAAAATGATGGTTATGGTTATGGTGACTGTCATGCTCGCCATCATGACCATGATTGTAATCATGTTGGTGACCAAAGTGGTCTGTATGAGCCTGGTCGGGCTTCAAAGCTGTTTCGGTGCTGTTCTCCTCCTCAAAATGCTCGTACGCTTGGAAGCCATCAGGATGTGCCTGTCGCTCATCTGCTGGGTAAAAGCATGAAGAGCATGTGATGACGACCTCCCAGAGACCATGGCCAACCCCCCCAGCCCCCCAGAAGGGTAGTACAACACAACCACAACCTGCATGGAAACCCCACCCTCAAAAATCTCAGGGCACTGTGGTACACTGCATTGTTGTTCATGTGGAAGGGGAGGAATATTCCCTGGAGACTTTTGTAACATATGAAGTACCATAAATAATAGGGTGTGGGGGGCAGATGAATGGACCGTTTGGAACTGTTTGGGAATTGCATTGTTTTTGCCCAGTTATTTGCAGTATTAAACTGAAAGGGCAGCCAATAATATATCTTTACGTGAGCCCCCTTATTTTGGGTTTGTGGTAGCGTCCATGAGAATCGGCAGCACACCCTTTCCTTCTGCCCCCCCCCCCCCCCCCCCCCCCACACACACACACACACACACACACCCCAGACACCATCATTCCCCCATTGTTGATACAAACTAGTCCTTGTCACTCTCCCAGAAAGGGGGCAGCAGGTTGAATAAGCAGACATACCTCTGCGGCGGATCTCTGACAGTACAGGGGGGGCGCTTCCTGTCTGGTCACTGCTGTCCGAGACGTGACCCTGCGTGACTGTGTGGGGGAGAGGGGCAGCAGACAAGGGTGAGGGTCACTTAACCAGCTTCTTATCCTTCACAAACACACTGTTTCCCAGCCTTTGGTCTCAGAGTCACACACAGAAACTCTCCCAAAGCGGCAGACCCTGATAGAGGCTTGGCTAATGTTAGTCAGCAGGGATCCATCTCTATATTAACTCAGAAGAAAGTGCAACAAAAAATGCCTGTTACAACTCAACCCAAAAATATGACTATAACATTCTCCCAGGATGTTAAAACAATGTCAAATCTCTTTCCATACAAAGATGTTTCCTGATAAATCTGCTGTATTTACACAATGTGTTACATTTTTGGCTTTCTTGCCAATTATTCCAATTTTTATTTAATGTTATTCCAATTTTTATTTTTTTTATTTATTTGATCTCAGTGTCTTATCAATCTGCTTTGATTGGTTGCTGTAACTGGTTTTTATTATTGTTTTTTGTTTATTCTTTGTATGTAGGCTAACTAAGCTAGGCTAAGAAGCTGCTAGGTGCCTTGTGGGTGAAGTTGTTTGTTTTTTAAGTTGATGGAATCCCTGACTGTCAGTGTCATTCCAGCACTACAGTCCCCAGGCTGCAGACTGGGAAACACTGACAGCTTTTTCTGTTTGCTTGGAGTCTGCTTGTGGATTTCCACTTGGTCATTTGGAAAAGCGTTTGGTTTCTCCTCCAGCAGGAGGATGTAAACAGGAATCAGAGCATGTGCTGGAGGAGGGGGAGCCAAAGAGATACGGCTGCCTCTGTGTGTATGAATTCAGCAGTATATCTGCAAGCTGGACACATTTCTTGCTGCTAAACAACAGTTCCTGATACCTGTGTCCTCGCAGTTGCTTCCCCCATGACCTGGACAGCACCTCCACAGTTGGGCCGAGACGATCTTTGGCAGCTCTTTGTACACAGGCCGCACAGACAGCTTGTACCTGGGCACATATGCAGGGATAAATGCGCACAATCTGTTGTGCCATTTCTTCTCCAGCGGTTCAGAAAATTGTAAGATATGTAGATGCATTAAGAAAAGATGCTGAGAGCTGACTTGCAGTAAGACATATTCAAACTTAACATATTTAAAGGACTTAATTTATTCTTTTTAATATTTTAAATTTTGATCGGTTCTTCACAGGCTTACAGTTATCCGTCGATGTTTACGTTCCAGAAATTAGGACATAAGTCATTCTGGATCTCAATCATTATATCGGAAAGGGGAAAGGTCATTGTATCATATGATACAATTTCACACATTTAACTAAACCTCCATAGCAATCGATTTGTTTTGGTTCTTGCCACATTCTAGACATGTAGTAAAAATGTCCACTAATGTTGGCTTCGGAAGTCTTTTGATACATTTTATTTAGGCTCTTATGGGATTTAAGCACAATAGGACGTAAGTGGATGGATGACTATATTTGGGTTGGCCGGTGTCCTGGGCGGTATACTCACATGACCAGTTGGCAGTCTGGTGAGCCACTGGGACAGGGGCTCTGCGACTTGATGGTGTACTTCTCTGTCCCGTAGGACACCTTCATGGTCACCACGCGGTAGCTGATGTATGAACACCAGTTCCTGTGGGCAGGGTGATAAGACAGACACACTCAATTTGAGCCAAGCCAGGCCTCCACAGGGTGTGGACCCCAGTCACTTGATCAAGCTGCTACTCCAATGGACATAGCTCACTTATTACAGTTCCGAAGATCCATGCCAGTCCCGTCTCAGCCTGAAATGGCCCAGTATTACCCTGCTCTATGCTGGGATGCTATTGAAAGAATGCCTTCCCCACATTCCCCATCAGAAGCTAAGGGTGCTTTTCCACTGCATCAAGTACCGTACTTTCGGTACTTTCCCTTTTCCATTGACTTCTGGTTGAGTACCAGTACCAAAAGTTCCAGTACTTAAAGTACCAAACCAATGTTTTTTGGGGTGGGACTTGAAACGTTTTCTTTGTCGATTAGTTATGCAAATACCTTGCCTCTGAAACACAATGCAATCGCTGTCTTGAAAAAGCTTCTGAAAATAATGCTAAACAAAGTAAAAAAAAGTAATAATAATGGGTGCATAGTCAAATGAAGCGACCCAAGCTTAAATTGCGATCTGGTCAGAAGAACAGATACAACAAGAACAGGATGGAAAGATAAGAAATAAAGTATGTAAGTAAAATAGGATAGCACTGTATTGGAAAATTTTCAAATATCACAATGTGATTTTGTTGTAATAAATACTGGGGTATTTATAAAGTGAAAAAGGAGTTCAACACTAATTTCTCACAAACCCCTAACAGAATGATTGTGATTGAATTTGGAGAACGCATGCAGCACTTGTACAAAAGCAGCGGAAGTAAACCTTAAAATGACTTTTAAACATATACTACATAATCTTTTTTTTATTACTTATATTTTCATTGTTTTCCAAGCACACACACCACAATGTAAAATTACACTATTCCAAGTATCCAATGGAATAGTGTGTACTATGCATAAAACAGAAAGCGAACAAAAAAACAAACTAAAACATACCTAACAAATAGCATATAGAAAGTTACAATTACATTTAGAGAGTTGAGTTAAGTCAAAGTCTGTTAAAGATTCATTGCCCATGTCATTTAAATGAATGTATTGTATCCATTTTTTCCCTCAAAACTCTGTCCTTTTAACCGTAATATATGAGTTAATTTTCCATTTGAAAAATTTCCTGTACAATATTGAACCACAGGCTTACTTTGGGAGGATCAGGTTTAAGCCAATTTTTTGTAATCACCTTTCTCGTTGCTGTGAGGAGAACCTTCAACAAACAACCATCACTCTGTACTATAATTCCTGAGATATGCCCTAGATATACGACAGTACATGAATTAGGTATCACATACCCCAGCACCTTCTCCAAAACTGTATGTGTTTTCTCCCAGAAGGGTCTTATCTTTTCACAAGTCCAAAAAATATGGGTATGGTGCACTTTTAAGTCACCACAAAGTCTCTAACAAGTTTGGTGTTGTAAATAGTTTTGTTGAATATTAGATTTAAAGAAGAATCAAATTACGTTTTTCCAATTAAATTCTTTCAATTTTTGTGAATTTGAAGTTGTTTGTTGTGTTTTACACATCTCACACCACTGCTCTTCAGTAATTCTCACATAAAGTTCTTTCTCCCACATACTTTTCACATATAGTGTTGAATGCGGTTTACATTCCATCAAACTGTAGTAAATTATGGAAGTTTCTCTAAACTGCTCTTTGTTGTCATCATAACTGTTATCACTGGGTTAAGCCCAGAAAAGTTTTCTGTACTCACTTCTTTATAGTAGTAATCTCTCATTTGTAGACACCTAAAAAAATCTTTTAGCTCCTGAAATGTGTTAAGTTCTCCTTTATCAATAAATGTGTACATTGCGGTTAAACCATTCACTCTCCACTGTTTAAAAGATCTACACTCCCGGTTAAACTACATAATCTTTAAAAGGAATAATCATTAAAACTGTACAAATTGCTAAGTTTTTTTCCTATGACAGAGTAAAAATGTTTTAGCAAAATTTAAACTCCCCACACTATAATGTCCGTACGGAATTGAAGGTAAGAAAAAGCCTGATCTTAATCTAGCCGATTAGCGATGTAAGAATTGGATGTTCATAACAAGCGATGTTGGTATTAATATTGCACGTCGTCTAGCCCTATAATAAGCTACAGCCATTTTTCGAATTCAGTACAAAATACCCCACCTTGCAGTGTGATGTCACTGAGCGTCTGTACTAGTTTTTACGCCAGTGGAAAACCAACACCTTGAAATACCAAAAGTGTGGTATCTGTTGCAGTGGAAAAGGGCCCTTTGTAAACACTTCAGTCCGTCGTGGAGTGGAGCTTTCGTGCCTCATTCAAGACACGCGGGTCACGTACATGTGATGCAGGCCCAGGATGCTTACTCTTCCATCCGGTATGCATTTCCTGTCCTCCCTCACAGGCTGGTGACTCAGCAGTTGCTTCTTCTACTTCGCTGGCCTCTGCTACTTGGGCCTCAGAGTCAGGGAGTAGGGCCTGATTAGGTACAGGGAACCACTCTCTCCGACAGGAAAGGCTTGTCTGGTGCTGGACCCCAACCCCCAAGCACAGCCAGAGAAGGACATGACCTCCCTCGCTACTGACCATGGAGCATGTGTGAAGCAATATGGATTCCCCCCCGCCCCCTTTAAGGCAGCCTCGGCTTATACAAGCTCACTTCACCCTGACACGCCAAGACAAACAAAGTGTCCAAACCATGCTAGGGAAGAAACCCAGTTAAGGAAGCTGGGCTGTTTTCATGAAGATGCTCATAAACACCTTTGTGCGATGAGAATGCCGGCAGGGGTGGGAATATGAAGCTGATTGAGTGGGTTCCTCAGAGTTCCCTAAGAATCAGAAGACAGGGGAAATCATAGCTTTTATCCTTCTTCTGAGCTGGGAGGGGTTCAGCGGGTCACTGCCGTTTCCTGCATGCCATTAGCACAACACTAAAGCCTCTTCAGCTTTACTAACAAACCACATTCAAAGAGCCCATGAGCCCAGTTCACTGTCTCCAGCTGGGCCCTCTAGCAGACTGGCTGCCATCATTAATGCATTTCCTGGTTTCTTCCCCACCAGTGGACTGAACTAAGCTGAGCCTGGTTATCTTAGTGAGCTCCATCTTCAACATATTTTTCCAGTGAATTGAGGATGTCTGAGCTCGGGACCATAAATGAGCCGAAAAGCTCCTTCACCACATGGTAGCTGTTTAGAAGTCAGGCACTGGGCTGCTGATACAGCCAGGTCACCAGCTTCCTGGCTGATGACATCACTGGACAGTAGGGCGGATGAGGGGGGTCCATTTATCTTTCAGTGAATGGAAACATTCAGAAAACTGCAGACTAATTGTGTCTGTCTGATTGTGTCTCAGGCCTTCGCTTCACATTCAGTGCTGTTCGCTTCCACCCAGCCCTGCTCAGGGTTTAGGCGTGACGACCCCCAACGCCCTACAGGACAAGTTACTGGTAGCACAAATAGAAGAATGAGAAATACAAGTATGGACCCACAGTTTGCCAAAAAATGCATATGGAATCTGAAGGAAATAATGAATCTCAGGGATAATGTGCTTTGTCACTGTCTCACCACCATGCCCAGTGAAGCCAGCTAGCCTGTTGCTCTCTCCCCCATTTATTATATTATGAAATGTCACATGTGCTGCTTTTGTTCACTTCTTACCTAACTATTAAGTTTCAAGTTTAAGATTGGGAAGCTCTCCCAAGCGTTACACATGTTCTAGCGTCTACAGGTGACCCAAATGGATCATCTGCATACCCAAGGATTGCCACCCCAACCACCACCCCTCACCCCCATTAACTACTTTTACTGTGCCCACGGTCGACAAATGCCCACCAGACCTTCTGATGCAATTTGAATACTGGTGCCTATCCAACATAATCACTGGGTATTTGAGTACTGTGTCAGTGATGTCATTCAATCAGCTGCTTAAAAGATTTCATTGCTGCTAATTGCAGCCATTGCAGACACGCCCCTCGTGGGACCTCGTTATCATCCCGCTGTAATAGTGCTGCTGCAATTCAGGGCCTAATGCTTGCATGTGGGCTGAAAGGATTACTGTGGTACTAAAAGTGAAGCTCAGAGATGAGAGATGAGCGGAGGAAGTCCACAGCCTCTCTCTGGCCATTGAAGTGGTTTACTATCCATATTGACTTGTAAAATAACATACTTAAGAGCACTTGGGCTGTGAGGAGTGCAGTGAAGATATGCAGGCCCACCAGCAGTGATCTGGGCATTTGCTGAAGCCTCTGGCTAGGTTTACACCCCCAGCCGTGCACCCTGACTGCACACGCTCAGTCACAAGGAGCCCAGTAAGGTCCAGCAAAGGATAAAAGCTGCACCCAATATCAAGCCACTGTCAGAAATATGCATTTTAAGAACGATCATGCATGTCTGTGTCTCAGCCCACATGTGACTGACCTGTGCCAATCATGAAGCTGCCCTGGGACTGACCTCCCGCACTCCTGCTCCCCCCTCTATCTCATATATTACAGAGTCTGTGGAGGCATAGGCACCTGCCCTCCCCCCCCAAAAAAAAATGGACAGCAACTCACCCTATACGCTTTACAGAGTTCTGGCTCGCTGCATCACCTAACAGGGGTGCTACTTCCTCCACTTGGTGGTGAGCTGGGTCCGCCAGGTGTGCGTGCCCCAGCGGTGCAGAGGCGGGGACCCGGTGCCCCTGTGGTCCCCCACGGGTGCCATGCAGGAAGCGCTCCAAGCTATGTCCTGCGGCTTTCCGGGGCTCATCCTCCAGCCCAGGATCCCTGGCCCTCAGGTCGGCCGGCGCTACCCCCAGCAGCCCCAGTATGAGCCCCAACCCCAGCACCACCCTCCGCACAGCCATGTTCCCGCTGCAGCCTCTGAATCTGCTGGAAAATAATCTGGGGCTTTTGCTGGTAAAGCTGTTTGTTTTAAAAGTTTCACTTAGAAACTCCCATCTCCGTAACCCCTTCCCCCTGCCCCGCAATTCCCTCCCCCCCGGCCCCCCCCCCCCCCCCCCCCCCCC